TGTGTGTGTATGGGGTTGTGTATGTGTGTTCAGTGGAGGTGTGTGTGTGTGTATGGGGTTGTGTATGTGTGTTCAGTGGAGGTGTGTGTGTGTGTGTATGGGGTTGTGTAGGTGTGTTCAGTGGAGGTGTGTGTGTGTGTATGGGGTTGTGTATGTGTGTTCAGTGGAGTGGTGTGTGTGTATGTATGGGGTTGTATATGTGTGTTCAGTGGAGTTGTGTGTGTGTGTGTGTGTATGGGGTTGTGTATGTGTGTTCAGTGGAGTGTGTGTGTGTGTATGGGGTTGTGTATGTGTGTTCAGTGGAGGTGTGTGTGTATGGGGTTGTGTATGTGTGTTCAGTGGAGGTGTGTGTGTGTGTGTGTATGGGGTTGTGTATGTGTGTTCAGTGGAGTGGTGTGTGTGTATGGGGTTGTGTAGGTGTGTTCAGTGGAGGTGTGTGTGTGTATGGGGTTGTGTATGTGTGTTCAGTGGAGGTGTGTGTGTGTGTATGGGGTTGTGTATGTGTGTTCAGTGGAGTGGCATGTGTGTGTGTGTGTATGGGGTTGTGTATGTGTGTTCAGTGGAGGTGTGTGTGTGTGTGTATGGGGTTGTGTAGGTGTGTTCAGTGGAGTGGTGTGTGTGTGTGTATGGGGTTGTGTATGTGTGTTCAGTGGAGTGGTGTGTGTGTGTATGGGGTTGTGTAGGTGTGTTCAGTGGCGTGTGTGTGTGTGTGTGTGTGTGTGTGTGTGTATGGGGAATCTTGGCCACGGCCTTTCTGTCAGCTGTCAGCAGATCAGAGGCGCCATCCACGATTGTCACAATTCATCATGTTAATTAACCATGTTGAAGGACTGGGCGTTGGCAGTGGGGATGGCAGGGGAGGGCGGCCGCCACGTTGTTGTGTCTCAGCCTCCGGGGTCAGAGCTCCCGCGGTTTGATGGCTGCCACGGCTGGCGTGTGGCCTCCTAACTGGGATCTCCATGCGGCCGTCATGTTTACGTCTCTGCAGTTCTGTGCAGATGAAGCCTGGGGCAGGAAGCCGAGGCCAACAGCGCTCCAGAACTTGGCTCTGGACGCTCCACTCTGTACCCAAAGGGGATACCACCCCGACGTCGGCTACACACCGATGGTGTCTCTCCCGGGCGGCCTCTGGGCTGGCTGTCTGGCTGGCCTGCTGTAGGGCCAGTGGTACCACCACGGCCCTGGCTCCACGGGGACCGGTGGGCCGCACCTCCGCCGTGGTGCTGCTCAGCGGCGGGTGGCTGTCTGGCCAGCCGTGCCGAGTCTCCGTACCCTCCGCTTCTCTCCGTGAGTGCTTCTTCCATCCGAGCCTGGGCCCCATCCCCTCCGCCACCCCCTCCCCCTCCTCTCCTCGCTCCCTGCTTTGCCCTCTGTCTCTCCTGCAGCCTGTGGGGAGTTTTCAGAGATGTGGCCGGCGGCGGTGGGCGCTCAGTCCCTCGCTTCCCCGCTGCCCTGCCCTGGGGGCTCTGGGATGATTACAAGACCCTGCTGGGCGCCGGCCTGCCGGTCGCCAGGTCATTTCCAAACCTTGCTTTACAGCCCCACAGGCTTCTTCCACCACATTCCGAGGCTCGCGTTGGCTTCTGTTGCATACCACCAGAGACCTGGATTCCCACGCCATCGAAGCGTCTCTTTGTGCTGGGTAAAGGGCAACGCGGTTCACTTTTCATAAAGCAAGCCTTAGGTAGTTAGCATGCGCTCAGTAGCTAGGCCCCGACAGGCACACACCTGAAGCGCTAGGTCAAATCTCTCCTGCAGACATCCGCCAAAGATTTTCCAATGTCTGCCGTCAACAGATTTTCGTTTGGCTTGAATTACGTTTCCGGAGACTTCCAGCTTCACAAAGACACTGCCTCACACACTGTTTCTGGACAAAGAGAGTACCTGCCTCTTCCCGGCCCAGTACTCTGCTATTAGTCGACAGCTCTATACCAACTTCTTTTCCCCCCTGGCAGTGATAGGAATACTCTGTACAGTTTACAGAACACCTTCATCCACTACCTCACTTCAATCTGCCGATTATCCTGACATAGCCAACCGCTCCATGGAGAGTCTCCGAGAGCTCTCCGGCTTGCCCCAGGTCACGGGCAAGGGAGGGCACACTGTTTGGAGCCCCATCTCCTGGCCAGGAACAGTGGTTCTCACCCACAATTCCGGCCACGCAGGAGGCGGAGGTCTGAGACTCCTCCGAGGAGACCCGAGGCCTCTTCTGCCTCCAGGCCTGTCCTAAAAACTGTGGTGCAGAGACCCAGAATTCCCCCAGGCAGGCCCCGGGCTGCTAACCATGGAGGAGCAGCAGGTCTGCCCGGCTAGGGGTGCGCGGACTAGGAAGCGTGGCATGGGGCTCTGGGTGGCCCGAGGCCTTGGCAGACGGAGGACTCTCGTGCTCAGCGTCGGGACGCAGCAGCCTCTGTGGGGCTCCTCTCCAGCGTTCTCCCACCGGCCACACTTGGAGAGCCTTCTGGCCTGCCCTGTCTTGGCTGGGGCCTCCTTGGAGGGTGTCTCTTGGATGAAAGATCCTCCTTCCCTTCATCCCCTCCATGAGAGGTTCCATGTATTTTCTTTTACTCGATAAAGCAAACAAAGGCCAGGGCCACTTGAAGGCTGAATTTGCCTGTCCTGGCTTCTCAGCCCCGGCCCGCAGCCCTGGCCCCTCGCGGAGGGGACGCGAGGCCCCGGCAGGCAGGGCCCCCACGCTGGCCAGGGCGGCACAGCTTGGCCTCGGTCCCTGCTTCCTGACCGTGTCCCTCTTCTCCACGCACATTGACGCCAGGGGTGACAGCACAGGGACAGGAGCGGTGGTCCCTGGGGGTCTGGGACCAACGTGCCCGTTCTTTCTGCAGGGAGCGACGCTGTGGTGCTGTGGCTCTGCATGTCCTCTGCTGGGCAGGGACGGACGTGGGAGGAGACGGGGGCCGAGGGGCGGCCCCAGAGGCGTGCGGCGCGGAGGGGAGAGGGAGGCGGGCCCCTCCCCTGGCAGCCGTCCGGGGGGAGGACCACCCCTGCCCTTTGAGGCGGTGAGCTAGTGTCCCTGGCTTCAGGCCACGGAGGGGCAGGTGGTGCAGCTGGAACCCTCCCTGGGTGGGGTCTGGCTCTGTCGCTTAAGCCGGCCTGGAACTTGAGAATCTCCTGCCCCAGCCTCCTGCGTGCTGGGATTACAGTATACACCAATACACTGAGCCCGGTTCATTTAACCTGGTTTATTTGCAGTGCTAGAGATCAAATATAGGGCCTGGCCTGGTGGACAGGTATGCAGCCCAAACCTAAACCTTCCCAAGCTGAGGTTCTAAGCAGACCGGCAGGGTACAGGGGTGGTGTACAGGAGCACACAGGGCGCAGGGGTGGTGTACAGGAGCACACAGGGTGCAGGGGTGGTGTACAGCACACAGGGCGCAGGGGTGGTGTACAGGAGCACACAGGGTGCAGGGGTGGTGTACAGCACACAGGGTGCAGGGGTGGTGTACAGGAGCACACAGGGCGCAGGAGTGGTGTACAGGAGCACACAGGGCGCAGGGGTGGTGTACAGGAGCACACAGGTGCAGGGGTGGTGTACAG